TTTTTTTTTTTTTTTTTGCGCATGTGCGTGTACATACAGGGGAGTACCCTCCCACAACGCGCAATTCGCTGCGCCCACACCAAATAGCCACCCTGCATAGGTGTCATCAGTGTGAAAGGTGGCTTAGCCGTGAAACCTAAAAGGAGCGACGCAGCGACGCAACAACATAACAACGCGGAACTCTCCTTGCCAACGACGACGCAGTAACGCAATAACGCAACAGCGCAGCGGCCAAACATGCAGAGCACGGACGAGCCAGACCTCCTCAGGCCGATGGACGAGGAGGAGAGGGAACACCTGCAAAACAAACTGAACGAGCAGAGACTCAAGCTGGAGGAAAACAAAAAATACCTGGAGCAGTTACGCAACGAGAGCGAAAATGGGTTTTTTACCTCCACAAATGGAAGGCACAGCCAGGGGGGGGACTACCCCGACCCGGACACTATACTGAAAAGCTTCCTCGAATCGATGGAGAAGGAGGAACTAAGCATGGACGCGCTGCAGGAGCAGGTGGACGGAGGCAACGAACAAACGTCCCACACGGAGAACAACCAGAGCCACCACCTAGTCAGTAACAACATCCCCCAGGAGAACTTCTACGCCAACGCCAACCCGCTGGAGGAATACGCAGAACAGAACAATTTTCTCTTCCTAAAAAAATCTTCAGCAAAAAATTTCAACTTTAAAATTGGAAGAAAAGCGCCAACTGAAGAGAAGGCCATACACATTGAAAAAAAAATTGTGAGCCAATTTGACAAGTCCATTCAGGTGAACGTCCTAACGGATGAGGCCACTTCGCCGCGTCACCACTCACGAAATGGAAAGAAGCGGAAGGACAAATTCGCTTCCCTCCTCTCGAATGGGCAGCCTGATGGGGACGGAGAATTCAAATCGGGGAAATTTTATAAGACCAAGTTGGGTAAGAAGGACGCCGTTTTGAAAAAGGGTGTAGCACTGGGGGGGACCTCCCCCGATGGCGCAGTAGAAGCAGAGGCGGGTGAACCCCTAAATGGGAAAGACCCGAACCAAGCTGACCTCGTCCTTCGCAGCAGAGGATTTCTGTCCTTCTTAGAACGCAGCTCTAAAATCGTGGAGAGGTCCCTAGGAGAGCAAGACGTCCTCAACGCCACCTTCGACTTTGCAGCCAAGGACATAACAGGAGACTCGGAGAGTACTGAAAGGATGAAGCTTGTGAATACCTATTTCTGTAAAAAGTACACAAATGGAAGGCCCATAACAGATGTGAGGACGTCCAACCTTTATAGTGAACTGTTTCTAGCTTCCTACGGCTTGTCTACAACAAGCAACTACACCGACCCTGATGGTTATGTCCTAGTCTGGAACAGCACAATGAATGGTCGACCCGAGTACATATTCACGTCAGAGGCAGCCGTATGCACCTCCGTCTTTAACAAGTTCAATCCACACCTAATCATAGGAGGGACATACACAGGGAACGTCGTTTTGTGGGATATACGAGCTAGCCAAAAACCAGTACAAAAAACTTACCTGACTGCGCAAGGTCATTTGCATCCCATATATTGTGCAGAAGTTATTGGGACGCTGAATGCACACAACTTAGTGACCGCGGACACGGATGGGAGGCTATGCAACTGGTCATTAAACATGTTGACCTACCCATCTGATACGATTGACTTGAAGAGAACTAACAAGGAAGTATCTTGCTGCTGCTTCTCTTTCCAAGAAGGAGAAATAAACACCCTCTACGGAGGAGCCGATGATGGTACCTTATTTCAAGCACAAATACATGGTACCAAGGTAGGCATCACTGAGTTTTATAACATCCACCATGGCCCATTAACAGCTGCACAGTTCCATCCACTCATTGATGAGGTCCCTGATGACCACAACGATCTTATACTAACCTGTTCTGTTGACTGGTCTTGCAAGCTGCTAAGTATAAAGGAACCCCAGAACGCTCTCTACACATTTGACTGCTTCGATGATTACCTTATGGATGTGAAGTGGAACCCTGTGCACCCAGCGATTTTCGCCACGTGCAGTAGTAATGGAAACATAAAAGTGTGGAACATGTGTTTCGAGCTGGACTGTTCCTATTTCGATATGACTGTTCAGGCAAAAACGACAAATAAAATTGCTTGGTCATGTGACGGAAGGAAGCTGCTTGCGGGCGACTCGGATGGGACCTTGACTCTTTGGAACGCCTCCAGCGAGATTTACCAGCCCAGGTCCGAGGACATCGCCAAGTACAGTGCACGGGTTGAGAAGATGCGGGTTGATAGAAGCGCTGCGTGAAGGGGTGCATAAGCAGTGTAGCGGTGTAGCGGTTCACTAACCGGCTTGACGATACCATCGACGGGGCTGCCTCCCACTTTGACGAGGCACATTTCACAGCGTAACATGAGTCAATCGTTAAGGGGTCCTGTGAAAAAAAAAAGGGAACACTTACGGACGAACTATAGTCCGACGCAACTTCGAGACAAAAATCCCCCGACAAGCATGCAGCTCTGGGAAGGTGCGCACACACTGACTGGAGATGACTGACCCCCCGCCGTTATACAAGAACTTCTCCTTCCCTGCCTTCTCCAGACTAACCCCCGGATTTGACTCCAACACAGACTCGACAACCTGTTCATTCTCTTCTTCAAAGAAGGAACACGTGGAATAAATAAACGTATCAGCTGTCCTCAGCGTGGCCAGTGCGTGATTTAAAATTTTTTTTTGAAACTCGGCCAGCCTATCCACTTTGTCTTGAAATGGAGGAGGGACCTTTGGGATTTTTCCCTCCGCCACGTCATCGTAGAAGTTGCGTGTCGGGCTTGGCTCGTCTGGAGGGAGATGTCCCACTTGGGGTGCCAGCCTACCTGTTGCCCCTGCCTCGCCGTGGCGGAAGACCCGGCGCATGCTCTCCTTGTGTGCAAAGTCGGGCATGCCGCTGGACGAACAAGAGGGGTCAACGAAAACCACGTCCACCTTCCCGAGCGATGAAAAATGATCAGCACTCAACTCAAAAAAATCTACATTAAAAACTTTGACCACCATTTCGCTACGTCGGTGTTTTATATAATAAACATTTGTACTTGTATGCTTTGCAAAAAAGTTCTTTTCTGTTAAGGCTAATTTATTTTCCTCTGAAAATTCTTCATCCAGGTATATCCCATCAAACTCCCGATTCTGTTTCATTATTTCCTGTAGTAGAGTGCGGCACCTTTTCTTATCCTTCTCAATGCACACAAGGTAACCCTTCTCCTTTAGCAGCGTCAGGGTAAATATGGCCTTGCTGCCTGGCGCTGAGCAGACGTCCACGATCACCATCCCCTGTTTAATATTTCCCGCCTGTACAACCAGGCAGGACGTCTTGTCCAATATTCTTACATTGTGCTGCTGATACGTGGGGGTAGCAATGAGAGTACTTAACTTATCATTTTCAATTTTGTAAAGACCTTCTACATCCTCGTCCTCTTCCACTGGAAGGACTTCCTTTAGTTCGTTCAAGGCATCACTATTTCTGCCCTGGTCATATATGATAAAATATTTGGCTAGCTGTTTTTTTTTTTCTTGAGTTTGTTTGTTACCCTCCTTTTTCTCTTTCAAACAATTGTATAAGTGGAGAATTTCCTTCTCCTTTTTCAGGATTTCCCTTTTTAACTTTCCCCCTCCGTCGATTTTTCTCCTCTGCACGAGCACGCACAGGAGTACAATTCCCAGGAACTTGTTCTTGCAACACTTGGACAGGTGCTCGGCGTACACGCGGTTCAGGATGTCCAGGTCTTCCAGCGCCTTGTGCAAAATGAAGTAGAGCTGTAGTGGTGTGAAGTGACGCAGTGCGATGCAGGGAGAGACATGTAACCAGGGACAAGAAGCGGCGCGGTTATATGCAACGGAAGGCGACCCATCGCTTAACCGCTTTACCGCTTTACCGCTTAACACGCTTCACACCCGTTTGCTCACCTTCTTAATCGACGGGTCCTCCTTCTCATGCAGAACGTCCTTGATGCCTCCTCCCTGGGCGCACCTCGACAGCATTTGCGCCGCCCTCCTATAGATGAACGACATGTTTGCGGCCCCTTCGGCTAGCTATCTCGCGGATGGCTACTCCGCGGCTGGAGGGGAGAAGTAAGGGGCGCGCACATTTTGTGAAAACGGGGGAAACGTCGCAGTTGTGTGGAGTAACAAATGGGGGGCCTCCAGTGAGTAAATGAACAGATGGGAAGACTGGCGGCTGAACGAACAGCTTTGCAAAGTGCTTTCCCCATAAAAAGGCGCGAAAAAAAAAAAAGAACAAAAAAAAAAAAAAGAATTTTTTT